TACAAACGCCCGCGCCAAATGCACCATCATCCCTATCCACTCTCTAGTTTCCCCGGCTAGAATAGAGAGAGACTGCTCCGACATCCTATTTCCTTGAATCTCTCAGCGACGCAACCAACAAAAATGGAGAAAAAGTTAAATCTCTTTACTGCATAACAACGTGATCTCGTATTAAGCTGAAGGATAGTCTGCGTGAAAGTAAGAGTTTAATTGTGTTTTAATTAACCAAGTTAATTCATTAGAAACTGCTGTTCTTGCAAATACAAGAAGTTTGTAACAGTTAAATGTATGCTAGAAATGAGAAATTTTCCGTATTCAGCGTATAAATGTTTAGATGACATGGTTCTTTGAATAATTTTAATGGAATTAAATAAAATATTTAATATTCATTTCTGTATCAATACATAGTGATTTCCTGAAGAACAAAACATATTTAAAATAGTATGTCTTGTCTTAATTATAAAATATTTTCGTTTGTTTAAACGTTAGTCAAATCATTAATTTTTATTTAAAAAATAAATAAATTCGGCTAATTAACTATTAAATTAGGTTTCACATAAAATATCCAACTAACAAAGTGATTCATCATACAGCAACATAAAACTATTATTCCGCCATCGAACAACTTCATTCATCGCTTGACAAATAAGAAAGAATAACAAAATCGACATCTAGCATCAAAAAAACGACAATACAAAAAGAAGATCCATCCATCGAGCAGCAATGAAAAGAAGAACAGCGGCATCATCCACCATAAGAGAACAAAAGAAGAAATATTCATCGCGCAAAACACAACAGCCAAAGACAGCTTCCGTCCAAGGTTTACCAATCAAGTAGTCGCATATCCGCTATCGAACACCGAAAAGCGATCGCGCTCCGTTTCCGTCCACGATCCCACTATTTAGCAACGCAAAAGAAGAGAGAAACATCACCATAAGAGTCCGCGTACACTATTAAATAACACACATATAGGGCACATCCACATGCCGCGCAGAGGGGGGGTTCCGCGGAGTGTAATCCCGAGGAGCCGCCACCGCCACGTCCGCGCAACAACGAGCAGAACTACTGCTCGTTCGTAATGCTGTCGTTCTCTTTTTATGCCAACGTACGCTGGTCGTCCAGAAGCAACGTCGTTGCTGACGTCGGCGACGCTGCTTGGCTTACCACGGTAGCGGGAGGGTAAGGGGGAGGAAAAGAGGAGCTCTTCTCGGCCGCTCGCTCTCTCTTTCTCTCTCTTTATCTCTCTCGCTCTCAGTCGAGACCGGAGAGCATCATGACGGGAGTATCGTCCTCGAAGGGAGCTATCCGTGACGACGCGTAACAACGTCCGCGGCACCGGTACCGCGGGGCAGACTGAAATCGGTGCGAGCGGCGTTCAGTCTCTTATAGGAGGCATCGAAGCGCAGGCGCTGTCAACGGGGGTGGTTGCCGGTTGCCCGAGAAGGATGGACCGTGTTTCGAAAAGAGAGGCTTTCCGTCGTCGTCGATCCACCCCTACGAAGATCGATCGACTTTTCATCGACGCCCGTCGAAACGCGGACGACGATGGAACGTCGTCATCGTCGTCGGTTGTGGTTAATCCATAATTCAAATTAAATAGTATATACAAAGCGGAACGGAGTTGACGTAATTCGTAAGAAATAGAAAAGAGCGCAATTAAATGGAGCCAATCTGCGAGTACAATTAGGCTAAAAGAAGAAAATTGTGACACACTAATGGGCTATTGATGTATGTTGATTTTGCCCTTTCTGAAAAGCACGAGTCATATATCACATTGTACGAAGAGATGTCAAAAAGACGAAAAATTAGATCTGAAAGAAATGATTTATCTGTATAGAGATAAATTTATCATTTATCTACGTAAATGTAATTTTCGTAAAAATAGACGTGTTTTATCCAACTGATTCATCCAACACTTTGAATCATTTTGTCTGGACTATTTCAAATAATTTCATCATAATTTTTAACATTATGAGAAATTTGTAAAATTTGTAAAATTTTCAGGTATAAAAACATTTGTGAAATCCAACTATAATTCTGAATTTTTCGGTAGATTGCAGTAGGCTGCACAACTCTCTTTCAAAGTCTATCAAAGTTCAGAGAATTATCGCGGATAGAATTTTAGCGCTAAAACTTGTCAGACCCAAAGCTAATGAAATAAAATGGATTTTACAGGAAGTGTTGACAAACATTTCGCGGATGTATATACGATAATATGCGATGTACGACGATACCGGGCAGAGTAAGTAATTTAAGGGCCAACATGTGAATATATAATTTAGCGCGCGTAAACCGCACCAGTGTAATCCGGAAGACTTCGGCTGCACTCCGTGCAATATGCGCTTGCAATAAACGGCGCGTGCATAGCTTGTTTACTATCTACTACCGGCTTAACCGTCACCACATGTTTTGTGTTCGAGCGTTAGTAAGTTTAACGCGACTTACGCGAAAATTATCAGATTTCTCGTGGGAGTTGATTAAATAGATTAATTATTATTTAATCGGATAAATTATTTAGTAACGAAGATATGTATTATTCAGATACGTACAACAATATGTATAACAATATCGATTAATTCGACATTGAACATCGTAATAACATATGCTATATTGATTATTCGATTATTTGTGGTTGATATTTTGTTATTATATATAACTCGAAAATTTAGTACTGTTATTACTTCTTTCTGTTATTATACACGGAGAAAATTTTATATAAGAAATTACCGTAAAGAAATTATAAAATTTTTTTTATGTTTTTCACATAATAACCATAGTATTTAAACTTATAATTCCTCTTATGGTCCGCAGCTGCTGCTGGTATCATAGTAATTTTTTATATAAAATTATTATGATAGTAATTTTTTATATAAAATTACTATGATACGGCAGTAGCTGCGAACCATAAGAGGAATTATAAGTTTAAATACTATGGTCATTATGTGAAAAACATAGTAAAAACTTTTATAATTCTTTCGTGGCCCGCAATTACTGCCGTACATAATAATTTTTGATATAAAATTTTCTCCGTGTAGAATTATAAACATACGTATTTTGAGCAATTTGTTCAATTTGTTCATATTAGTTATGATCATTTATGATTAGATTAAATAATCAACGAGAAAAAAAGAATTACGGAATTATAATATTTGCAAAAACGTTTGGCTAATAGCAAAAATAATGTGCAGAATATATCAAGCTAAAGTCGTGCCTCAAAATGAATGCCTTGGTATGTATTTAATTATTATTATCTCATAGTTATAAAATCGGATCGCTAACTCAGCTAGCTTTTGCAAGAAAATGTTCGCTGTGCAGAAAACTCATTATATTGATCTGTTAGAACCGTGCGCATAGTCTAAATACCTTCGTGTAAGGTATCAATTCGGCATAATGAAACTATAATGCACGGAGAGTTAGAGTAATCCATAATTCTCTTCACCCTGTTATCCCGTGAAATCTTTACAAGCCGTTTTAGTACGCGAAGAATTTAACGCGGGTCAATTAATTCAACGTTTACTTAAAGAGATGTACATGCTGCATAAGAAATTACCCTCTTTCTCTCTATAATTTACCCTTTGATATATCACTATTGTACCATCTTCATTTTAATAAATTATTAAAATATATACTAAGCATGACATAATTAGCATTAATTTTACTTTAACGGTAACTGATAATATCT